GCTATTTTCACGGTTTTTATAGTGTCCTCTAGACCAGGGCTTCCCAAACTGTGCGTCGCGACGCCCTGGGGAGTCGCGGCGCTTTCATAGGGGAGTCGCGAGACGATACCCACCGGTCGCCTGCACACGACGTAATGAGTGAGTGCGCTGCGCATGCGTCTCATCACCCCGCTTCTCCAATTTCCCGCTCTTTCGTTTAGTCTTTTGTTTTCGTCGATTACAAGCATTGAAGAATCAGTGTTTTGATTTCAAGTGTGTTCTATTTAAATTGCGCATTGTAAAATGGATAACTTTATTCAAATAAATAGAAAACGTGTTGAAGACTCAGGAAAGAGTACAAAGGAAACTGTAGAAAAACGAAAAAAATACAGAAAATATGATGACCAATATTTAGATTTTGGATTTACTTACGTTAGCAAAGGAAATGTGGAACTACCCCAATGTGTTGTTTGTCATAAGGTGCTGGCAGCTGAAAGTATGCTTCCTAATAAATTGAAACGTCATTTAGAAACAGTTCACAGTAATTTACAAGGAAAACCGCGAGATTTTTTTGCAAGAAAATTGCGAGAACTGAAACATCAGTCGACATCCTTGTTTTCCAGAGCATCTATTCCCTCCAAAGCACTGCTCGCCTCTTATAAGGTCGCTCACCGTATTGCCAAATGCAAGAAACCACACACGATTGCTGAAGATCTTATTTTACCTGCAGCGATTGATATGGTATCAGTAATGATTGGAGAATCGGCGGCTAAAGAAATAAAAAATATTCCTCTTTCTAACAATACGATTAGTCGTCGCATTCATGACATAGCTGAAGACATTAATGAGCAAATTGTGGAAAAACTTTCTGGTTTATATGCCATTCAACTGGATGAAGCGACAGACAGTAATAACGACGCTCAATTAATATGTTACGTGCGGTACATGGAAGGAGCAAATGTATGTGAGGATTTGTTATTTTGCAAAGAAATGACTGATACCGGGAAGGCTAGTGATTTGTTTGCGATCATAGATTCATACATGAAAGAAAATAACATTCAATGGGAGAACTGTGTTGGTGTGTGTACAGATGGAGCTCGCGCGATGTCAGGGCAATATGGAGGACTTCAAGCTCTCATTAAAACCAAGGCACCAAATGCAAAATGGACACATTGCGTCATACATAGGGAGGCCCTGGCTACAAAAAATATTTCACCTGAATTAAATCTTGTGATTGATATAATTATTAAAGTGGTAAACTTTATAAAAACAAGACCCGTGAAGGCAAGATTTTTCCGAAAGCTTTGTGAAGATTTGGGTGCCGAGCATACATCTTTACTTTATTACTGTAACTCTCGTTGGTTGTCGAGAGGTAACGTACTCTCACGTGTATACGAATTAAAACATGAGTTGTACACGTATTTATTGATAGAATCTCATCGTGACGCAGAAAAGTTTAAAGATACTGACTTCTTAATAAAACTGGCGTATCTTTGCGACATATTTGAGAAATTAAATGTCCTTAATAAATCGCTGCAGGGAAACGAAACGCATATACTGCAACTGGCTGATAAAATTGCAGCGTTTAAAAAAAAGTTGCTGTTGTGGAAAAGAAAAATAGAAGACGAGCATGGAAATTCTGACTGTTTTCCAGTTTTAAATGGCTTTCTGCAAAAAAAATCTATTCAAAATCTGGAGCCAAGTTTGCAATTGATATTTATCCAACGCTTATAAACACTAAGCACCCATTTTAATACATATTTTCCAAAGAATGTAAATCAATACGACTGGATTAGAGACCCATTCCAATCGAGCCCAACCCCATCTACACTTTCAACAGTTGAGGAAGAACAGCTATTAGAACTATCTTGTGATACAAGCCTAAAACTTCGATTTGATAAAGAGAAACTATTTCAATTTTGGAGCAATGTATCCCAAAAATATCCTGCTATCAGTACTACAGCTTTGAAGGTTCTTTTACCGTTTACTACATCATACTTGTGTGAAACTGGCTTTTCTGAAGTTGCAGTAATCAAGTCCAAATACAGGTCACAAATAAATTTAGAAAAAAAAATGAGAGTAGCAATTTCAAAACTTCAGCCCCGATTTGAGAAGTTATGCTCAGAAAAGCAAGCTCATCCTTCTCATTAATTGTACTATTATGTTTTCTAATAAATAATAATTATTAAGATTTTATATTCTTTGGAGTTTTCTTTGAATAATGAAGTAATTTTAATGTCTGCTAGAACTACACGCAGGTATCTTCTTTTAGAAGGGCGTCGCAAAAAAATTACAGCCAGTAAAGGGAGTCATAATATAAAAAAGATTGGGAACTCCTGCTGTAGTGGATTTTATCCAGGCCTACAGCACTATTCCCCGAGCGAGATTGCTGTATGTAATTCATTCCTGGTGAATGGCACATTATATTCCTCATTAGATGAGGAATGAAAGTTTAAACAGTGTTTTTCTCTTTGGGCTTTATAAGCCTAAAAATTTCTTCAATACATAATATTGCTGGATGAAGTAGAAAATGTTTCACCCAACGTATCAGCAATACCCTGTATATCACTGATTATTGTGCCATTATTTTCCAGCATGGACAGAGAGTGAGAAGCATATTTCCCATTGATTTTATGGATTTTATCCCAGAATGCTTTTGAGCTAGTGGATGATGTTATGCAAGAAACAAACTTTCTCCAAGAATCCCTTTGGCTTTGCCTTCTTATTCTTCTGGCATTTGCCTTTGCTTTTTGGAAAGCAATCAAATTTTTTGTAGTGAGGTACCTTCTAAAAATCCCCCATGCTTTCTTTTGTGCTTTAAATGCTGCCTCGCAATTCTGGTTCCACCATGGTTTCAGATGTTTTGGGTATCTTGTTAATGTCTTTCCCATTGTTTTCTCAGCTGCCTGAATAATACACAAAGTGACAACTTAAACTGAATCATTAATATCAGCAGTATTGACCATTTCCTCAGTGATGTTAGCTAAAAAGGAAAATGCAGGCCAATCTGCCGTTTCCAGTTTCCAGCGTGGTGGATGGGCTGTTTCACAGCTTTCTCTACCGCGATATTTTAGAAATATTGAGAAGTGGTCACTAGAAAGTGGATTAGATCCAACCTTCCATGTAAATGCTGAAAACAGATTCGGAGTTGCTAATAATAGATCAATGGCAGTGAACGTTCTTGATGGGGCATGGAAGTATGTCACTTCTCCAGTGTTAAATAGATACAGTTGATGATTACCTATAAATCTCTCAATGGCTCTGCCTCAACGATTAATGTCGCGACTGCCCCACATAGGATTGTGGCCATTAAAATCACCAAGTAGAAGGAATGGTGTTGGCAGCTGTTCAACCTAGGCATCCTGTTCATTCTCATTGACACTGACATCTGGTGGCAAGTATACAGAACAAACTGTGACAGTTATGTCAATTGAAATTTCGACTGCCACAGCTTGCAGCTCTGTTGTTATTTGTACCAGTAAGAATGGAATGCGATTTGAAACCAGAATAGCCACACCGCCACTGGCGCGGTTGTGGCTATCATCATCCTTGTGGTAGAGATTGAATCCTTTTAAAGTAATTCTTTCTCCAGGTTTCAGATGAGTTTCCTGGGGTGCCACACAGAGAGATGAGGTAAATGATGTCAAGTGTTTAATGTCAGAGAAGTTGTTGCGAAAACCACGACAGTTCCATTGGATTATTTTATAATCCATTATGTGTTTGAGGCAGCATTCTTAGAAAAAGTGTCCCTCTTCAATTTTACTGCGGATTTTCCTTTTGAAAATGAAGTTGAATGTGTCACCTCCATATTATTCTCTTCGTCAGAGATATCAGAGAACTCACTCATGGATTGAGTCTCTGATCTCTTAGAATTGGAGATGGCTGCTTTTAATTTTTGTTTGTTGAGCGGGTTCTTAGCAGCCTTCTTAGAACCCACGTTTCTAAGAAGGCTGCTACCCCTGTTTTAGGTAGGGGTGTTTTGGTCTTCTTGCTCTCCTTTTCTGCTGTTCGGGTAGATGGTATTAGCAAACATTTTTCATGGCGAGTTAGAGATTCATTTGGTGAAACAGAAATGTCTGTCTGAACTCCACATGTCTTTGCGTATTTCAGAACAGCAGCAAATGTCTTCTGTTTCACTGGTAAATTTAAAGTGACCATGCGTCGTCCCTCTGGGTAAGGTATATTATTCACCGTCTTTACCCGCTGAATCTCTTTCTCTCTTTGCCACGTGGGACATTTTCGGGAGTAGGCAGTATGGGCCTCTTTGCAGTTGACACAGCATGGAGTGGTTGTGCACTCAGTACCCTGGTGGCCTTCAACTCCACACTGTGCACATAAACTTTTGCCTCGACATGATGTTTGGGAATGTCCAAATCGCTGGCATTTAAAGCAACGCAGCGGATTTGGAATGTACGGACGAACCGAACAGCGCAGATATCCTGCAGTAACAAATGATGGTAATGTTGGCTTTCTGAAAGTAAGAATGAGATGTTTAGTTGGTATCAACTTGCCATCACGACAAATGAAAGTGCGTCGTACAGCAATGACTCCTTGATCTGAAAGACTGATCTGTATATCTGATTCGTCTTCAGACATCAGATCAATCTCGATTATCACCCCACGTGATGAGTTTAGACTTCCGTGTGGGGTGACAGTGACTTCCATGTCTCCAAGTGTTTTTGTTGCCAATAGATTTACTGTTTGTTGAGGTGAGGCTGTTTCTACCAGCAGGTCCCGACCTCAATTTTTGTATCTTTTTCAAGTGCCCAATAGTTAATTCAAATATTTTTTGAATAAGAAATGGAGAGCATTTTGACAGTGGTTTATCACCAGTCGCATGAACTATCAAGTAGGTTGCAGTGATGGAAACGTTGGTTGTTACTGGAGGTAACTCATCCCTGTTTAGTTTTAAATTTTTGGAATCTGTATTTAGACAAAACAATTCAGCTCCTAACGACCCCACCCACCACGGGGCCCAACAACGCGATGCCGGCACATGGGAGTCTCCCATAGACCGTCACACCAGGGTTTCCCAGGAGCAATACCCTCACAATGCAGTCAGGAAGAGCACATCTTGTCTGATGTGTCTGCCCGGTCTGCATCGANTGTTGGGGACGTTATGTTGCCCCTCAACTACCAGGATCCCCCTTTCCGGCATACGGGACATCACGCACGGCAAACACGTGGGTGGGCATTCAGATCCCAGGGATGGTAAAAAAAAGTTACTAAACCATCTCTGGGAGGTCCCCTCACCACAGACAGGAACCCACACCGAGGGGGACCAGTGGAAGAACCACAGCCAATAGAGGAATCAGACCTAGCCACAAAATTATTGGCAGTAACCACATTTGAACGAGAACAAGATATTACAGACGCTCAAAGAAATGATCCAGAATGGAGTGGACTCTATACTTATTTATTGACTGGGAACTTACCTAATGACCCAGCCTTAGCCGCAGAAATAGTAGGTAAGTCTTCCCACTACCGGCTAGTAAATGATATTTAATATTATAGCCAGAAAACAGACGAAACTGGAAGTTATCGACCAGTAATACCTCATGACTTGAGAAAGGATGTACTACATGAATTACATGATCATCCAACCGCTGGCCACTTATGTGTATGAAAAACTACGAAAAAATACAACAAAGGTGCTATTGGCCCAAAATGAGAAAGGATATAAAAGAATATGTACTAGGATGCCATACATGTCAGGTGACAAAATTTGACCAAAAGAAAACGGCAGGACTAATGCAAGTCCCAGAAGTAACTGAACCAGGAGAAAAGATAGGAATAGATATAATGGGACCATATCCAAAGTCCAACAAAGGTAACCAGTATCTCCTAGTTATGATTGATTACTTTAGCAAGTGGGTCAAAATTTTTCCTCTGCAGAAGATTACTGCAGAAACAGTGGTGAGTTGTATGTATAATGAATATTTTTGCAGATATGGCATGCCAAAAATATTAGTATCTTATAATGGGCCACAGTTTATTTCTCACCTCCTAGCGGAAGTTTGTGAACGTACAGGTATCAAACATATCCTGACAACACCGTATCATCTGCAATCAAATTTCACAGAATGGATAAACCGCACCTTAGGATGGATGATTGCCGCATATATAGAAAGAATTCACAAGGAATGGGACATCCATATCCCAAAATTAGAACTGGCATTAAGAACTACAAAACAAGATTCCACAAAATATACGCCAGCACATCTTCATCTTGGGAGAGAGATTACACTCCCATGGGATCGCCTAACTTCGTATCCAAGACGCCCTACAACCATTCAAGAAAAATGGGCAGAATTACAAAGTATAAGAAAAAAAGCCCGAGAAAACGTGCAAACAGCACAAAAGAAGCAAAGAAGGGCGTATAACTTAAGAAGGCGGCCAGACACATATAAAGTGGGTTATCTAGTAGTATTAAAAACTCACCCTATTTCTTCTTCCAGCTGCCGATTCAGCGCAAAGTTAGCACCTAAGTGGGCAGGACCGTACGAGATTACCAAAATCATCTCACCAGTTGTTTGAGATCAAGGATCCTCACACTGGGGCCAGCCATTACAAACAACACATCTCCAACTTAAAACGCTACATGCTCTTTCCGAGGAGGCAAACCGTAACACCCCTACCGCAAACTGATGGGGGTAACGCTAGAGAAACACCCTCCGGGGAGAGATCACCGTTAAACCAAACACCTTCACCGACCGTTCTGAGAGCAAGACCTTCAGGAGTTATTCAACGACAACTGACGCAACTTCGACGAATCGATTACCGACAAATTTCCAGTCTTACCAGGAAGCCAAGGAATAAAAGTTAGAGAAAGATACAAAAAGGTAAAACGATATTTTTTTTTCAGGTGGTCGCTGACCAAATTGTAATCTAAGGGGTCCCTAGAAAGGGAAAGGAAATTTGGCAAACGGGGGGAGAAATGTTAGAAAAAAAAAACTAAGTTTTTCTCACGGTGAAGGACTGGAATAACCCGTACTAATACAAATAACCCGGCTAACGATACTTAGATAATCAGTCCGTAACGAAAAAAAGTAAGTAAAAAGATAGAACAAAATTATGGGGTTAACTTTGTACCCTATTCACGCCATTGAACAGCGTGAAACTGGAAAACCCTTAGAACATCAATAAAAAATATGTCTACAATTCCCCGAATTGTATCTTAAGTTAAAATAAATTTAAGAAGGCACCGAGTCACTCCCGCTTATATATCAATTTATTGTAAAGGGATGTAATAACTAAATCTGGTAGCAATTGTATAAAAGGCGCACTCCTTCTGAAGACAGAGTTGGAATTTGGCTTTAAATGGAAAGAAAATTAACATTCTCTTTAATCTAAAGGGGAAGGGGTGTAAGGAACCAAGTCCGGGCGTTATTTTTATTTTGCTTTTATTATATTTTGTTTGGGGCTTATGTTTAGTTAGGACAAAGGTTTCCTCACCCGTCACTTTAGAAAGTTAAAAAGAGAAGATAAAACCAACTCACCAACGAAAAAAAAAAAAAGCGCCATAGCTAGCAACTGCACTCACGTGCATGCCTGAGCGGCAGATAGTAAGCCCACACTGAAAGGGGGGGGAAAGACTCCACAGACTTTTAGGAGACTTGTTAAACCTTAAAGGAAACATCCCGATAATTGTTCTCGAAAAGACTGTAAGAGGTTAACAAAGTATTGTTGAAAATTAAGCTACCAGATAAACAAGAAAAAAGTGAATGTTACATATAAGTATGTAAATGAGGGGAGTCTCTCACTTAGAAACTGTGACGTCACCTCAGACTATAAATAGCGTAGCTTAAGTGAAGAAAGCAGAAGTGAGCTCCTGAAAGGAATAAGTGTAGTCTGCTAGTAGCAGTGAACGAGGTGTCCAATAGGAAATAGTCCAAAGCGATTGCAGTTTTCGATTTGTGGATCAAGGAATAGGAAAGTCTTGAGTTGGAAAAAGGTTCCTAGTATAATTGAGGTGACAGTTAGGATTTGTAGTTGTAAGAATTTCTGTACCTTAAGTTAAGGATTAATTTTGTCAGAATTCCAAGGGGAATAGTTCTAAGTTAGAATAAGATTGAATTTTGTTGGGTTTGATATTTTTTGGATTTTATTTGATTGAATAAATTTGTTGTTTGTTATAAATATTGTAAATAGTTATTCCTAAATCTTTATTAAATACTTTTATTGATTTTTACTAACTTGTCTTTAACTTATTTCGGTGCACGCGAAAAGTCCAGGCCTGGCAAACTAACAAACAAGAACCCGTGTAAAGTACCCGTTAGGTACTGGCTCTTTCCAGAACGAAATTCGTTGTAGAGCGATAAGTTAAAAATAGTACTTTACAAAGAAAGTAGAAAAAAAAGGGGATTAATCGACATAGGAGGAAAAGCATTGAAGTTTTTGTTTGAAACTGCTACATCTGAAGATATAGAAGTTTTAAATGGAGAAATTACAAATATCAAACATATTAATAAAAGTATAATTCATTTAGTGCAGTCACAAGCGACTCTTCTAAATGATACCTTGAGAATAAGTAAGAACAACAGACAGAAAATAAATGATTTATCAAGGAAGCAAGATTCCTTCGAGAACTTATTAAAAATGTATCGATATAATTTAGCATTCGAAATTATCATGAAAAATATAGAATTTGCGATGCAAGAATTTCATACACAAATAATCGAATTAAGAGAAGCTATTGACGTTTTAGGGCAAGGAAAATTAAGTTCCTATTTTATCTCAAAGGAAGTGATGTTCCGTACGTTACGAGAAATACAACTATAACTTCCGGAAGGTTATTCATTGATAGAACAAGTCGAAACCGACACGCTCTTTAAATTTTACCAGTGGATTACTACAATTGCTATCGCACTTCCAGGAAAATTTAGAATTTTTGCAAAAACGCCATTGAAAACTCCAAGTGGATATTTCGATGCTTATGAAATTTTGAAATTACCTACATATATTCCTACATTGAAAGCTTATGCATATTTTAAAACAAAATATCCTATTTTAGCATTGTCAATGGATCGTCAATCGTACATGTTGTTACGTCATCACGAATTGGCTGTTTGCCAAATGTCACAGTTTGCTGTTTGTTCACCAGATATTCCAATATTTAGAGCTCCACATCAGAGCTGTGAATATTCGTTATACATCAAAAATGATCAGAAGGTTACAGAACTTTGTTCCAAGGAAATTGTAAAGGATTTTTATCCAATTTTTAGAAGAATTGATAAGCAAGGAACAGGGGTACTTTGTACACCCTCTACACTAGTATTAGCAGTGAAATATTCTGCTAAACCGAATAATTTGCATTCATTACCTTCTACTATAAGTAAATTCAATAATGTTGGAATAATACAATTGCCAAATACACGTGTTGGATATTTACCTGGAATTATCCTCACTTCACATTTTCACATGAGATCAACTGTTCTCTCAAGAAGCAGTCCAAAGTTTATTATACCTCTGATTGAAACAATACTTTCCAAGATAGAATTAGAGAAATTACAAGAGAGTCTAAATACTACAGAGAAACCTAAGAAAAAAAAAAAGAGTTCTAAGAAGCAAAACGATGATGATATTAAAGTAGCAGAAAAATCATACGAGCAAATAAAGAAGGATTTGGATATGTTATTAAAAGAGAACGAAGATCTTTCAAATTCAAACACTCCAACCATTCCAACCACGACCTTATGGATTATTCTTGGAAGTATAGGAATATTAATGCTACTCATCTACGCATATTATACAATCAAGCATCATTGTTGGAAACGAAGATTAGAAAAGAAAATAAAGAAAATGTCACAACAAGACATCCCATTTCAAGAAATTCCTCCAAGAAATAATATAATGGAAGAAAAAGAACCGGAAATAGTCGGATGGTTGGTTAATTTTTATTGGCACAAAAGCCATGCAGGCTATACTGCGCCACAACACATGGTACAATTGAAAGTAGAAAATAAATAGAGGAACATATATACACATAAACGAAACATCACAGTTTAACCATTAAAAAGCCAATGGTAATATAAATATAAAATCTAGAATATAATAAATAAATAAGTAAACGAACAACAACAAAAAATATATACAATAATTTAAATATGCAACTGAAAGTAAATAAAACTTTACAATAAAGAAATCACCAGATTTCCCTATACATATTAATGACTTTTAGAAAGTCCAGTATATTATCCAGATTTGGCCTCTGGCCCAAGATGTCTCTAAAGCTTGCATTTTCGAAATGCTGTCTACGACTCTGATCAAAAGCAACATAGTTGCAAAATATGTGTTTAACACTTACAGCACAGTTGCAGTGCTGACATACTGGTTCGTCATCTCCCTTCAAAAGATATTGATGAGTCAGTCTTGTGTGTCCAATTCTCAAACGAGTAAGGATAACCTCAGATCTCCTATCATATTGCCTATTATGAGTCCAATTTTCTACCAAAGGTTTCATCTCGTGAAGTTTATTGTGGATTTGTGCATTCCACATGATTTGCCATCTCTCTGCTAGTCGTTTTTTAACGACTAGCTTCAAATGACCTCCTTCAATACGCATTGTATGCTGTGAAGGACTTGCTGACTTAGCAGCTGTATCAGCTTCTTCATTACCTCTTATACCCAAGTGGCCTGGGACCCAACAGAACTTCACAAAAAAATTTCTCCTAGTGAGATGACAAATTAGTTTTCAAATTTTAATAACTATGGAGTAAGAACTATGTTCATACGAAATCAAAGCCTGAAGTGAACTAACTGAGTCAGTGTAAATCACGCAGCAACGATGACCTTTCCAATGTATATACTTTAAGGCTAAATAAATAGCCTGCAACTCCACAGAGAAGATGGAAGAATTCAGTGGTATTTGTTCTGCCACAATTTCATTCTGGCAAACAAAGGCTAAGACAACAAAGTTATCCGATTTGGATCCATTGGTGTATATAGGAATTAAATTACTGTTACAATGCTGAATTTCTGCAAAGTGCTGTCTATAAACATAGTCTGGGGTGGTTTCTTTTGGAAGCTGCTTTAAGCTTAAATCAACATCGATCAGTGAAGTTGACCAAGGTGGAATACTATTAACCTCAACATGTGAGATGTTGCTTGTGTCTAAGTCAATCATGCTGCTTACATTCTCAATTCTTATGTTGAATGTGGGGACACAACTCGTCCGAGCAACAAATAATCTTTTCAGCTGAGTATCTGGACAATCAGCTGTAAGTTTTTTCTGTGATTTTTGTTAAATGTAATAAAAAAGAGACAACTGTTCTCTCCTGAGAGATAGTGAAGGCTCATAAGCATCCACATACAAACTTTGAACAGGGGAAGTTCAAAATGCACCAATGCACAAACGCAACGCTTCATAGTGAATTGGATCCAGCATCCGAAGAGTAGATTCTCGCACAGAGCCATAAACAATGCAACCATAGTCCAGCTTAGAGCGGACAAGGGCCCTATAAATCCTGAGCATCAAAACTTTGTCTGCTCCCCAGGATGAGCAGCATAGTACCTTTAAAAGGTTTAAAGATTTTAAACATCTACTCTTCAGGTTGCGCAAGTGTGGCAAAAATGTCAGTTTTTGGTCGAAAGAAACACCCAAAAACTTAGTCTCATTCACCATTGAGATTTTATCCCTGTTTAGGTAAATTTCCGGATCCAAATGCAAACCACGTCTTCGACAAAAGTGGATGCACGAGGTCTTCTCCATGTTAAAACTAAAACCATTAGTCTTAGACCAATGGTCTATGCGATTTAGGGAGGTTTGTAGTTGTCTCTCGATGAAACTCATATTACTAGACTGACAGGAGATCTGAAAGTCATCCACATACAAAGAGTGTTTCACACTGGGAGGGAGACGGTTAGCTATGCTGTTAATTTTAATTAGGAACAGAGTCACACTCAAAATAGAACCTTGAGGAACACCTTCTTCTTGTATGAAGAGCCTAGATAAAGTGTTGCCCATTCGAACTTGGAATCTTCGATTCTCTAAGAAGTTTTTTATGAAAATTGGCAAATTACCCCGCAATCCGAAATCGTCCAGATCACGGAGTATCCCGTATCACCAACAGCAATCATAAGCCTTCTCTATATCAAAAAACACAGACACTAAGTGCTGTCGTCTAACAAACGCTTCGTGAATAGATGTTTCAAGGTTTACTAAGTTATCACTGGTACTTCTGTTCCTACAAAAACCACTCTGATGTGGTGAAAAGTATTCATTTTTCTCTAAGAGATACATCAGACGTCTGTTTACCATCCTCTCAAAGAGTTTACACAGGCAACTTGTCAGAGAGATTGATCTGTAATTAGAGGGATTCTTGTGATCTTTACCAGGCTTGGGAATGGGAATAATGATAGATAACCTCCAAGAGTCAGGGAAAGTATGTTCTGTCCATATTCTGTTAAACAGACACAGGAGATGAGAAAGGGAATTGTTTGACAGATTTTTAATCATGCTGTAGTGAAGGGCTTCCCAAACTGTGCGTCACGACACCCTGGGGAGTCATGGCGCTATCATAGGGGAGTCGCGAGACGATACCCACCGGTCGTCTGCACACGACGTAATGAGTGAGTGCGTGGCGCATGCGTCTCATCACCCCGCTTCTCCAATTTCCCGCTCTTTCGCTCAGTCTTTTGTTTTCGTCGATTACAAGCGTTGATGAATCAGTGTTTTGATTTCAAGCGTGTTCTATTTAAATTGCACATGGTAAAATGGATAACTTTATTCAAATAAATAGAAAACGTGTTGAAGACTCAGGAAAGAGTACAAAGGAAACTGTAGAAAAACGAAAAAAGTACAAAAAATATAATGACAAATATTTAGATTTTGGATTTACTTACGTTAGCAAAGGAAATGTGGAACTACCCCAATGTGTTGTTTGTCATAAGGTGCTGGCAGCTGAAAGTATGCTTCCTAATAAATTGAAACGTCATTTAGAAACAATTCACAGTAATTTACAAGGAAATCCGCGAGATTTATTTGCAAGAAAATTGCGAGTACTGAAACATCAGTCGACATCCTTGTTTTCCAGAGCATCTATTCCCTCCAAAGCACTGCTCGCCTCTTATAAGGTCGCTCACCGTATTGCCAAATGCAAGAAACCACACACGATTGCTGAAGATCTTATTTTACCTGCAGCGATTGATATGGTATCAGTGATGATTGGAGAATCGGCGGCTAAAGAAATAAAAAATATTCCTCTTTCTAACAATACGATTAGTCGTCGCATTCATGACATAGCTGAAGACATTAATGAGCAAATTGTGGAAAAACTTTCTGGTTTATATGCCATTCAACTGGATGAAGCGACAGACAGTAATAACGACGCTCAATTAATATGTTACGTGCGGTACATGGAAGGAGCAAATGTATGTGAGGATTTGTTATTTTGCAAAGAAATGACTGATACCGGGAAGGCTAGTGATTTGTTTGCGATCATAGATTCATACATGAAAGAAAATAACATTCAATGGGAGAACTGTGTTGGTGTGTGTACAGATGGAGCTCGCGCGATGTCAGGGCAATATGGAGGACTTCAAGCTCTCATTAAAACCAAGGCACCAAATGCAAAATGGACACATTGCGTCATACATAGGGAGGCCCTGGCTACAAAAAATATTTCACCTGAATTAAATCTTGTGATTGATATAATTATTAAAGTGGTAAACTTTATAAAAACAAGACCCGTGAAGGCAAGATTTTT